TTTTTTTTTTTTCTTTTTTTGGAGAGGTTTTTGCTATAGGGTGTGTGCACTCGCCAGACAGACAGAAAGAGACAGAGAGACAGAAAGCAAGAAATCACCCCCCAGGGAGGATGGCCACGCCATAATCCCTTCTCCTCCATTGTCCTCTTAGGATCTTGGGCAATGCATACACATGTGCCCGGCATGAGTTTAAGCCACCGAGTCCAGGACTCGAACCGTGGTCAACTACGTGGGAGTCCAGTGACATAGCCATTACGCTAACTGCTGGTCCCTCCTTCTTCTTTCTTTTCTTTCTTTCTTCCTTTCTCTTTCTTCTTTCTTTCTTCTTTCTCTCTTTCTTTCTTTCTCTCCCTTTCTCTTTCTTCCTTCCTCCCTTCCTCCCTTCCTTTCTTTCTTCTCTCTCTCTCTCTCTTTCTTTCTTTATATTAATTTGACCAGAGAGGGACAGAGAAAGAGAGAGGGAAAGTGAGAAAGTAAGTCACCAGGTCCAGGACTTGAACCGTGGTCAGTCATGTGGGAGTCCAGCGTCCTTAAACCCCACGCCACCTGCCTGTCTCTGTTCTAGATATTCTTTTAGGAGCAAATCAATACAGGCTTTCACACCTGGCAAGTAGCTACTTAGCAACTTCACGGAAATAATTGAATGTAAGTGTGAGCTTATTTTGGTGCAAAAATTTGGAATCTATGCATAGTTGTTTTTTTTTAAGAGGTTTTTGCTATAGGACATGTGCGCTCGCCAGACAGAGAGAGAGAGACAGAGAGACAGAAAGCAAGAAATCACCCCCCAGGGGGGATGGCCATGCCGCAATCCCTTCTCCTCCATTCTCCTCTTGGGATCTTGGGCACACATGCACACGCACCCGGTGTGAGTTTAAGCCACCAGGTCCAGGATGCGAACCGCGGTCGACTACGTGGGAGTCCAGCGACATAGCCATTATGCTAACTGCTGGTCCCGATAGTTTTTTGGTAATACATAATTTTTTTAAACTTTCTGAATGCCCCTCATGTAGCCACGTGCCACATAACAACGTTCCAGTCAATGATAGACCCAGATGGACCGCATGTATGAGGTTGGTTGCATAGAAAGCATATAGCCTAGGTATACCACATATCCTAGGTATAGGGTAAGCCGTCCCATCTAGGTTTGTGTAAATGCACTCTGTGATGTCTGCACCAGGGATGACACCCAATGAGGCATTCTTAGAATGTATCCCTATTGCTAAGCAACACATGAATGTGCTTACCTGTTTTAAATTCTATCCCAACATACAGAAAACCACAGAGACAGTGTGCTTTCACTTGGGAGGCTCAGTAGTGTGGCTGTGCCTTGGGATTACACAAATGCCTTATTTCTCAGCTATAATTTAGTCCATGGAGACCTTGACCATTTTCCCAACCCACAGGACATTTTGCTGATGGGGACGTAGAAAAGAGGAAGTTGTAAGTTGTTTTGATTAAAAAAAAAAAAAAAGAAGTAAACCCCGGAAATGTAATTTCATGCTTTCTTGTGAAATTCTTCTCTTGAGTACAAAATCTCAGACATGTTGCCACCATACAGAAGGACCCTTCATCTCGCCACCTGCCTGTCCCAGTTCTAGATATTCTTTTAGGAGCAAATCAATACACGTTTTCATACCTGGCAAGTAGCTACTTAGTGACTAAATGGAAATAATTGAAAATATGAGTTTATTTTGGTGCAAAATATTTGGAATCCAGGAACCAGCAGTTGGCATAATGGCTCTGTCGCTGGACTCCCACGTAGTCAACCACAGTTTGAGTCCCAGACCCAGTGGCTTAAACTCACGCCAGATGTGTGTGCGTGGGTGCCCAAGATCCTGAGAGGAGAATGGAGAAGAGATTGTGGCGTGGCCATCCCCCTGAGGGGTGATTTCTCTCTTTTTCTCTCTCTGTCTCTCTCTGTCTTCCTGGTGAGCGCACGTGCTCTATAGCAAAAAACTCTCTCTCAAAAAAAAAAAAATGGAATCCATGCATAGTTTTTTGATAATACACAATTTTGCAGCATCTTGGGTCATCTCCATAGAACCCTTTTTTTGAGAAAACAGAACACATCTGAGTGTCTGGTTCTATCTATATCCAGGTGACCCAGCAGGTTGCCTGCTTTGAGCAGGAAGCAGAGGAAGCAAAGATGCCCAAGTGGCCCAGGCTTTGCCTCAGGCAGGCTGAGCCACGTGGTTGTTGCAACAAGACTCAGCCACCTTGTGGTGTCTTGATCAACTTGCTGATAAAGCCTGTAGCAAGCCATGAAAAAGAATCCCAATGCCTGTTGAAATTTGGGAGCACTTTGGCGAGAACTCTTCTCCTTTTGAGATGCAGTATTTGGCTTCTCTCTAGGCCCAGGTAGAGACCAAAGCTACCCATGGGCATCATGTGTGACCAGAACTGGGCACAGTTTGTCCACTGGCTCCTGTGGTTGGAGCCTTTGCTAGGTGAGGTTGGGTAACTGGGTTCTTGTAAAACTCTTGGACCCCTGTAACAGATAGGCAACCTCTTCCTTAAATGCCCCAGTGTTGCCCAGTGGAAGACATTCCCCAGTGGAAGACATAGGGGTAGAAAAAGTGTAGCTGTGTATGGGCCCAGCCATATGGGCCCAGCTTTACTGTGGTTCACATGGACACTGCTCAGCTGGATGCAGTGTGCAATTGGGTGACAACATAGTGCCTTCCTGCACAAGAGACCAGCCAGCTACCTGTTCACAGGTCAACCGATATTAGTCTGCTATATGGAGAGAGTGGGGATTTTTCTCACTGCGTTTAATCCTTGTTTTGGATTTGCTTTCCCTGCTTGTTAACATTTACGCCAGAATCAGCACTTTCGTTCTACAAAGCTTTATTTACTGTCCTATCCCCACAGATCATCATTTCTGCCAAGGAACTGATGTACAAAGGGATAAGACAATAGGAAGATACCGTGGGGTTCACTAGGGTTCCACTGACTCTGGTACTAAGAGGGAGCTAACACTGCGAGAAGGTGGACTGACCTTCTTAGGTATCATTTAGGACCACAGTGGGAGGCATCACCACAAGGTTGCCCTGATGTCCTACAGGCCATGCACAAGTACCCAGTGAATATGCTGCTTCCCCCAAACCAAAATCCACAGGTTGGGGACCTGCAACATGGAATTGGATATATAACACTTCTTATGATTATAGCTGAGGAGCCGTTCCCAGAAGTTTGTCTCTTGACCCTGTTAAAGCCTTAGTCTCCTGGTTTGGAGATCTTAGTAATTAACCAAGGCATGCTTTAGCCAAAGAACAAAATAGTGGTGTCACTGAGTTGGATGGTGTGAGTGCCACCTGATCACTTGGGGCTCCTCTGCCATTGAGCTAACAGGCCATGAAAGGCCTTGGTAATGTGTGGGATGATTCTATCAAGAGGAAATAGGGATGTCACTACATAACATGGGAAGGCTTAGGTGGTCCAGGGTCTTTCCTCATCCTACCCCCATTTGGTGGTAAAAGTTGGTGGAAGAGCATGGCAACAAGCATTTATAAGAACTCAGATCCCTCAGGAATGAAGAGTTGAGTGGCTCAGCTGAGAAAGCATGGAATAAAACATGGAGGAGGGAAGCCAGGAACACAGCGAGGGCTCCATGACCATGAAGGGAGCATTCAGTAGTTTCTTTTCTTGGTGTGTTGTATTACTTTTAGAGAATTCCCTTACTTCTCTTCCTTTCCCTTCCCTTCTCTTCCCTTCTTTTCCCTTCCCTTCCCTTCCCATCCCGTCCCTTCCCTCCTTT